TAAAGACATCGCCATAATATTATAATTGTTGTGGCATTGTTTTTTTTCTGGTGGGTTAGGAATTCTATTTTGAATTCTGAAGATTCACAATCTTTTGAGACAAGAAATGACTCCTTACCTCAGTTAAATCAGACAGCCACATTATCCAAGGAATGTCAGCCCAGTACTAGACACTCCACTCTCAAAGTGTCTCCGAAATTCAGACTTTCCAAAGAGCAGAAATGGGACATGGGGGATGTGGACAATGGAGTGTCGGAGAATGTGAAAGGGGGTTAGCTGGATGCGCAGAGTCAAACAGAGACAAATAGAGACACATGTTGTGGTAGACACTGAAAGGACCAATTCTCCATTCGACATGGCTGCTAACTGACAGAAAGGAAAAGTAAAAGGCAACCACTTAAGCAGAGCCTTTGACCACCTCATGGCAACGGAAGCAGTATTACAGCTGATGAAGTCCTTTTAAAGTTGTAAAGTTGGCGTGAGTAAGCTAATGAGAGAGCAATTTTGATAAATACGTTGATTCGACAGATAAAGCGAATAATTTCTCCCGACATTATAATATAGAAATGCATAATTAACATCGTAGGGACGAACGGTCAGTGGATCTGAAACGTCAGCTCTGTTTCTCTTCAACGATGCTGCCAGGCCTGCTGAGTTTCTCTACCAATTTCTGTTTTGTGTCAGATTGCCTGAGTTCTTTGTTTTAAGTTAACCTGCACGACGTTTGGGACAAATCAGATTGGCTGCGAGCTCCTGATCAGTCAGAAGTGCTGGCACCACGATAAATTCAAAACTTCTATTCTCTGAATGGGAATCAAACCTGGGCCGTGGTAGTGAAAGCGCTAAATACTAACCCCTAGGCCACCAAGAAACACAGCAGAAAGGCTCGTGTCTTTTCTTAATGACGCTGCTTTTGCGTTTTCATTTCTGATCATATTCGCTGCAGATCGGTTTCTCCGTCTCTGAGTTTTTAACAGCATGGAAGAAGACCATTTGGCCCATCATTTCAGTGCAGCTCATCAAACCTCCATCTATTCTAGTCCCAGTTTCCAGCATTTGGCCCATAGCCTTGTGTGCTTTGACTTTACGAAGTGGGCCTGGAGTTTGAGATGGTAAAACTGTGTTAATACCCCCTTGAGGAATTCATCCTCATTTTCACCCACAGAGGGAGACACAGGTGCACATCCCTGAAAGTGACAGAGACCTCAGGATTATACCTGCTCCATGTCCTTCACGTCCGCTCTCCGTCCCCAGGCACAAGCTTCTGCGATAAAAGGCAGCTTTAGGTGGAACACAAGCAACTTCTCCGGACAATGAGAACTGTTTCCGTGAGCTGGGATATAAAATGGACAGTGAGCTGAAATAGTCTCACAGGCTGCTCACGTGCAACTTTCCAGTTGGAATACTCACCGACCCAATCACTGCAGTACCTCAAATCGTGTGAGATTTTATGCTTCTTGCTCTCTAAAAGGCAGTGATTGGCATACGTCCCTCTTAACCGATTCGGGTGAAATAATCGTCGGCCGCCTCTCCTGTAATACCTTTCCCAAACAAGAACACAATGAGCAAATCCCTTTCAGATCTCAACCGTAGTCGGCGGTATTCAAACAGTGCAGAGTGAGCCAATTGATTTACAGTTCAGCGCCTTAACCACTCGGCCACGACTATACACGCTGCATCACAGGCTCTGCTTTCCAGGTCTCTCTCTCTCTCTGTGGAGGTGAGGAAGAGTGAATCATGACTCGGTTTGTTTGAATCCAATCACTTCTCAGATTTCTAAAGGGTTAAACTCAGTACATGGGAGATCCGGCTGTTTCATCCCAACAGATGGGATAAACATTCATTTAAAAACAAAAACATAAATTTCAGGAAAAGCTCAGCAGATCTGGTAGCGAATCAGTGCCAACGTTTCAGAACTCTGTTTTATCACACAGGAACTGCCAAACCTGCTGAGTTTCTACAGCAATTTTTGTTTGTCTCATTGTCCCGTAGCCGAGATGAGATTTCAATTCCTGATGTGCAGGAACGAGAATCTTTTCAATGTCACAAGTCAGTTCATGTCCCGAGAACATCAGAGTCAATGTCCCAGCCTTTAAAAGAAGGGGCAGGTGTCTTCACTGTTTGTGCTCAGTCGGAAATTTCACTCTTCATTCTCCTGTGATTCCGGTTTCCAAGAGTTTCTAAAGATTCAAAAAGCTGGAGACTGGGTTTTCTGTTTTGCTTCCTTAACATCGCCCCACCCTCCACTTCCAACTGTCAATATTTTCCCAAAATCTCTTCACAATCCTCCGCCTTGCAACATGTCCAGGGATGAGGAAATCCCGTTTAGTGGAGTGATTCCGGAGATCGGAAATGTTCTCTTTGGAGCAAAAAAGTTTAACCAGAGATTTCCTATTGCTTTTCACAGCATTGGGAGAGGGAGTGGCGGGAATAGGCGGGGTGGTGGTCGGGAGAAACTGTGGCCACTGACCAGGTTCAGTTCCCAGAGGACTGCAATTCAAGATATTTAATGCAAAACCATTTATGCAGATTAAACACGGAGAACACTGCAGAAACTCAACACGTTTCGTGGTACCTGTGGAAAGAGAAACAGAGCTAAAGTTTTGAGTATGGGAAGTTTCTTGTTCAGAACGCGTGTTTCCTGAATGTCAATAAATGACCAGACTCTCCGGTGGGTTGCTGAGACGGATTTTCTCGAGTTTGAGCGATGACTCATTGATCAGAAGGTTATTTGAAAATAAAACATACGTGCTCAGGGTACGTAGTCGGCTGGACTCGAACCGGCGTGGGGAAACCCCAATAGATTTCGAATCCATAGCCTTAACCACTCGGCGACGACTACAGGTCACCGCCCCCGTTTTAACTTTTGGAATGGGTTTAAAATGAAAGAGGAGCATTTGGCTTGTCTTGTCCGTGCCACAACTCTTATATTTCTTGTCATCCTGTACTTGATCAGAATGGAGATTGAATTGAAATACATTATTGAGAAATAGAGTGAATGGGAAGAATCCATTTCTATGAGCAGAGAGATTAATAGATCAATGGATTGAGAAAGAAAGATGTATTTGTATTTTGAAAGAGCCGTTCACCACCATCTAAATCACAACCAACGGAGTACTTTTGAAGCAGATTCTTCATTGGCCAATCTAATGTGCAAATCAGGGCAGTTTGTTTAACCATAGGTCAAAAACGAAGCTGTTTCAAATACTCACAATTGGCGCTGGATGTGCCAGTGAGTTCATAACTAACTTTGGGGGTTTGCTGTGCTCTGATTTACACCCGGGTGCGTAATCTCAGGGGAAGGCGTTGCCCATTTAATACAGAGATGAGGGGGATGTTCTCCCATTCAGACAGTAACAAATCTGTGGAATTCTTCCAAAAGAGTTCTGATAAGGCTGGGTGTATTCAAGGCTGAGATAGACAGAGATTTAGTCATTTAGGGATTCAAAGGCGACTGTGATAAGGCAGAAAAGTGGAGTTGAGGAT